AGAGTTTGGTGAAACTATGACGCTAATAAAATCATCTATTAAGTTGCTTTGTTTTGTGACAGTGTTTTCTTTTTTTTTTTCTTTTTTTTTTCCCTCAGGTTTTTCAAGATTTGATTTATTTGGTTCACAAAAAAAAAACCCCAAAACACCCTGCCCATGTCTATCAATGAGGGAGGATGCGGAAACCCAGATGCATTGGAGCTTAACCTAAAAAAAGATACTGTCTGAAGCAGTGAGCTGCCACCATGATACCCCTTGCTGCTTGTACTACATTGCCTTGACCTTATTTTAATTATACCTTTTTGATCAGGAGTGCAGTAAGAAGAAAATGCTGGTGTATTATGAGGCTCCACCCAGCTGAGATAAATATTTAGGCATGAGACTGAAACATGTGAAGAAATTGCTTCAGGAGTTTACATATTCTTATGCTTCTACAGTTATCCTTGTAATCTTTTTATTAATGCACCTAAGCCGCTCAGTTTAACTCCAAGTCTGTGTGCAGAAGACCAGTTCCCGAAGAGTCAGTGGCTCCATGCCCCTTCTCCCTTCTGTGTGTACTTGAAGTCTCTCCATGCCTTGAGGAGGAGTCAAGGTGGGGAAAACTCTCAGCTACTGTTTTCTTTTGCCTTCCTCACTTTATTTTCTCTGTTCCACAGGCCCTGACCTAGTAGAGAAGTTGCCCAGCTTCTTAGTGAGGCCACCCTTGCGGAGGACAAAGGTCTCTGATGCTCATCCCTGCTGATTTACTACTGGCAACCTTGGGGATAGGCTTTGGCAATCAGCTTGTCTTCACTGTGTCCTCGTGTCCCCCCTTCTTGGATACACGGAGTGATTAGCTTGTTTCTGCTTTCCTGTTCCTGTTTTATATAAGGACCTAGTAATAGACCCTCGCCTGAAATGCTGCCTGTCTTTGTTTTAAAACATCTTCCAAACAGACTCTTGTCCCCCCTTTATGACAGCAGGCAGTGGCTGATTAAGGTAATTGTGGGCTGTATTTTGGAATCTTCTTGGCTTGTGCTTGTTATAAGAATTTCACATGTTATTCCCCTAAAGCTTTGCATGTGACAATTCTTGCAGAGGAAATCATCTACCTTGTGAATAACTTTTACACTTTTGAGAACTTTTTTTTTTTTTCTTTCACTCCCGAATTGGGTACAAAATAAAGAGAAATCTTGACTCTTCAGTATTTTTACTTTTAATACAAGGAGTTGCTGGGCATCATAGAGCCCACACAGCATATTTCTATGCCAGTGCTGCAGGGGTGAGGAAAAGAAAGGCTGCCGCTGCTAGTTTTGGCTTCCTGAGCTGGACTCATGGCCAGAAGTTCTTGTCAAGCTACATCCCTAAACAAAAGTTGCTAAGACACCACTTGTGGGATGCACTAATAATACTGGGTTTTTGAAGCTAAAATAATGCATGAAAAACATACTTCAACTAGATTTCTCATATAAAAATGGTTAATTTTTATTTGAACATATGATCCATGACCTATTCTCCTTACCTTTTCCAATTAAACTTTATGATTTTATATACATATTCTTTTTCCACCTGACAACTGTATTAGAATACATCACTTCTGGTAAAAAGGAAATGATGCTTTGAGGAGTTGCCAGTATGGTGAGTTACTTTGGCTGGCAACAGTGTCCCTGGATCTTCCGGCTTGTCCTTCTACTACTTTTAATGGAGCATTCATGCCATGCCATGCAGTTCTGTCATATTGTTGATATGCATGGACTGTGCATAGCTGTGTTTTAAAATAAGCGGAGTGAATTTGCAGTCTGACTAGCGAACACTTTTTAGCAGCGATAAAGTAGCGGGGACAAGACAGAATTTATTTTGCATCTTTAGAAATGGTGTCGCGGGGGTGTTTTCTGCGCTCTGAAGTTTTCGCTCCTCTTTCCAGACTGTTTTGTGTGCAGGTCTCTGTTCTCTCTTCCCAGCTGAAACGGCTGCAGTTCCCCACTCATTGGCCGGCCCCGCGCTGTCGTCAGTGGGGCGGTAATGTTGGGACGGGGCTGCTTCGTTTTAACCGGCGGCTGCTTCTCTCTCTTTCTCTTTGCCCATCTGAACTCTTGAGTGGTGCTAACAGCACATAACACAGAGTAAGTATCTTCTCGGTTCCGTTTTGAGTTTCTGCGTTCATTTCCAATGTAGTTGTACGAAAAAGCTGAATAGAGTATATTTCAGCCTATTATTGATAAGCACAGCCTTAACTTTACTGTTTAATTATGATTGCGGACTGGACTGGAAACCTGCCTGTTGGGTTTAACTTAAGCGTAGGAGATACAAGATGCTACATGCTGAGTGTTTTAGTATTTCTTTCTATGTCCTATTTTGTCCTAGGTGTCTGTATCTAATGGATCCCTTTACTGTAACCCTCCTTTTTCCTCAAATTTTTATATCGAGTTTTTATCATAACTTGGCATACCAAATATGTATAGTGTAACTGAACATTTTAATCCCAGTATTCACAAGGAGTCTGGGAAGTTTGTAACCAAAAAGTTTGTAAATTTGCAACGTGTGTATTTTGTCAGGCACAACTTGAATGGAAAGTTATTGTCCATCTCCAGCTGAAAGTACAGTTATATTTTAACTGCCGTGTGTATATAGTTCATAGTAAACAATTCAGGGCCTTTTTTTTTTTGTATTTTATACTTATATTAACATTTATTTTGTCTTTTTTTCAATTAATAATTTTTCACTTGACAATTCAGGGCCTATTTTTTTGTATTTTATCTTTGTATTAACGTTTATTTTGTCTTATTTTTTCCATTAATATTTTTTCATTTGACGTTTTGCTTGACGGGATCCCTATCTGAGCAGATCATTTCTTCAGCAGGGGGTTAAAAATGCATTAGCGACTGTCACTGCAACACCCTCTAAAACACGCACGGCCTCTCGCTGTCTAAAGCTTATCGCGGGGCGCTCGGGTTGAGGAGTTAGGCTCACCGTATGCCTTGAATCGCGCCCTCCCTCCGAGCGGCAGCTGCTTCCTGCTCCGCTGAGGTCCTCAGGAAGGACAGGTTTCTCCAGGAGGCAGCTCTGGTGTAAGGGGCAGCCGCTAGGGGCTTGAATCCGGGTGCAGCAGCTGGCACGGGGTTGGGGCACACGCCCAACCTCATCAGTCGCCGGAACATCTCCTTTCTGCCGTGCCTGCGGTGAGGCTGCTTTTCTGTTAGAAACCATTCCATTTTTCCCCCCTTTTTCCCTTTCTTTTTCGCTCCCCTTTGGTTTGGGGACGGCTCCCCTGCCCACCCACGGCGGAGCCGTGCCCGATGCTGCTCCGGTGAGGGAGCAGACCCGCGTGTGCTCCCGGTGCCCGCGGTGTTGCAGGAGCCGCCTTGGAAGGCGCCGCGTGCCTTGGCCAGCGCAGGTCAAGGGAGCGAGCGCGGGTTGAGAGCTGCGTGCGCGAGGGTTGCGACACCAAGACCGATTGTTCCTCTGACCAAAGTCCCTATCTCGTCTGCATGCCTCCCCCGGGAGCGTGAGGTGGAGGGCCTCGCGTCACATCCCTCACTCTGCTCTCTGCACAGGGCCGCTTTTCCCTGCTCCCTTTGCTTAAAGTTCTTTAAAGCCATTTTTATAGATTCGAAGCATTATTTTGTGTATGTAATTGTTCAAAGCTCTTATTTTTTTTGTTGAAAATAAGGCATGCACCTTGGGCTTAGGACCACTTTCTGCTTCATGGAGTGGTTTCTTCAGCTTGTTCACTTCTTCCGTGAAGAAAACTCTCCCCAGTTTGGTGGCATCGTTTCTGTGTGTGATCTGCATATAGTTGGACTATTCTGTCTTATTCCTTGAATAATTTAGGAAGCTATCACAGATTCCAGACTTCAGTGGAGTTTTGCTGGTGTTGGCTTTCTTTTTCAGCTTAAATCAACTCTTCTATTCCCTGGATAGCTGCATGCTATCGTTTTGGGGATGACAAATCTGAAATGGTGTACATCAGGAAGTACGTATAGAATATGTATATAGAAATATACAGGTCGGTCTTAGGTTCCTGCTTCTTGGTTTCTTTGAGAGTGGGAATGGGTGAAAACGCACAGCTGAGGAGAGGAGGACGAGCGGCGGGACCACCCGGTGTCAGGCCGTGCTCACATCAGCTCGCAGGGAAACTGCTGCCTCCCTTCATGGTAGTTAAAGCCACTGAAGCCAGAAAGAGCGCTAACATTTTTCTAAAACTCGGTGGGATGAGGGAGAAGAGGGGATGTCGCGGAGCACCTTGCCAGGGAGAACTTTCTGCTTACGGGCCGTGGTCCTCCCTGTCGCCTGCCTTGTGCTGCTTCTCGCCTAAGGAGAGTCAGGGCTGGAAGTTGGCTTGCTTTCCTGCTTCGTTGCTCTTAAACTTTCCTTTTCACAAAGTCTTATAGGGTGTATGAGGTAATTCGTATGTTTATATGAAGTTTGCATGAGTATTTAGAGATCTTTTAGATACTCCTTTTAAAAAGTCTTGAGTTTTCGCTACTTACCTCCCTAAATGCTGTAATATAGAGCAACTGGTTCTTCACTAGAAGAACCCCTTTGCAGCCTTATGTTCTCCAGGTACTTATATAAGTTTACAAGTCACAGCCTGGTCACTCATAAGGCTCTTTTTTTTTTTTCTTCCTCAGTATATCACATACTTCTGTATTTTGGATTTGGAATAATTGCCAATCTGATGAAAGGAAAACTAGGATTACCCTGCATATTATTTTTGTGTTCTGAAGGGGTTCTGGTGTTCAGCGTTATATCATGTTTATGTCAGACTTGATTAAGTCAGTGGTAATCACTCTCACAGGCAACTTCCTTTTCCTTTTCCTTTTCCTTTTCCTTTTCCTTTTCCTTTTCCTTTTCCTTTTCCTTTTCCTTTTCCTTTTCCTTTTCCTTTTCCTTTTCCTTTTCCTTTTCCTTTTCCTTTTTCACTAACAAAACCTTTATAGGAAAATCCTGGCCTGAAACAGAGTGATGTTCATGCATATTGTTCAATGCAGTCTGTGGAACTCTTGCCTCACTCCTCTAATCCTGGCTGTTTTGCTTCTGTCCTGGTTTTATGCAGACTGATGACTGATCGGGTGCTTGTGATCGGCAGCGGAGGGAGAGAACATGCCCTGGCCTGGAAACTGGCCCAGTCCCCTCATGTAAACCACGTGTATGTTGCACCAGGAAATGCAGGAACAGCTGACAATGGGAAGATTTCAAATTCAGGTAAAATATATATATACATATTATTTTAAAATGTTATAGTTAAACTTGTAAATTATTCCATTAATCAACATAAAATCGTAGCTGTTTGTGTGAAAATATTTATTTTTAAAATCTTTGAAGTATTGGACATGTGAAATACATCTTCTAGGTGCAGCGGGAAGAGGTTAAGAAGCAGAAAATGTGCGAGCAAAGCCTTGTGTAACCCCCACTGAATTTACAAGCTCAGTTGCAGTGGCTAATTCTTTGGATTTGGGGGTGGAGGAAGCAGTCAAAATTCCATCTGTCTGTGTTGCAGATTCCCCCGGGGAGTAGCCTGGGCTAGATCTAGTGGTTCCTGTTTCCCAGCCATCTAGCTGGGCAGGAATGGTGGCACCACAACCCCAAAACTGTGTGCTGAACAGCTGAAAACGTGTGTGCAGCCAATGCAGGCACCTCTCGGAGGGTGGCCGAGGGGACTGCTGCCAGTGGGAACCACCATTCAGTCATATTATCGTATGCACCGAAGCCCTACCATACCTTAAACCTGTGCTAAGAGTATATTCTCACATGTAACATTCCAGCTTAGGAATTTTTTTTTTGGTATGTGTGCTTATGATGTTTAGAGGTTAGGATTATTTTTAATAACAATCTTAGTACTAGCTGCCTGTTTGGAGCTTATAACTTTATATATGAAGCTATGAGTGGCTATAGTTGAAACAGCTCGTATTTGCCAGTTCGAAAAATCAAGCTTAAGATGTTTCAGACTGAGCATCTAAAATTAGATGCCCTGTTTAAAAATACTTGTCTAAGGTGCTTGCCTGCAGGCACACAGTGAATTAATATGAAACCCAGGATAATTACTCAGAAATTCCAGTCTCATGTCCTTTATATACCAGTTCCTGGAAGGATACTTTAAACAAGCGACTTAAGTTTCCACTTAAAACATATGTTTATGTGCAGAACTAAAGTTAATACAGTATGCATGTGAATAGGAATTATGTCCAGCTATTTTCTGCCTTTATATTTGTATGTCTGTAAAATCTCTTATTATTACCATCTCATGCAGAAACATGGATCCTGTCAGACTCTTCTACAGCAGATATTTTCTTGTATGTTTAATTACTAACAGTTTAAATATCTTTGTTCAGATTTTCTTTAAATGTTTGCAACACCATAAGCAGTTGTTTGTTCTGTTTGATCTCTGAGGAGACTGCAGGAGGAAGAGCATCTCAGGAAAGTCAAATGTTTCTCTCTTATGCAAAGAGTCAGACAAAAGTCTTTGTCCTTGTGCTAAAATGGGTCAATGCCGATTTGTACAGCCTGCAGAACATCAATTTATGTGGGTTTTTTGTTTGTTTTGTTTTGTTTTTCAAGCAGTGCCTTCTAAAAAACTCTTGAGCTTTTCTCTCACCATGTTATGCCGTAAAGAATACTGCATCCTTAGAGGGCAAAGTATTTGAGCATATGCATAATAATGCTTGAGCCCAGTCCACAAAATCTACACACTTGCAGAAATACTTTTTTTTTTTTCCCCTGAGCTATGGCCTCACATGTGCTGTAGGAGAGAAATGCACAGGCAATTGGGAGGAGGGCAGAATCTAGGCTTTTGTGAAAAGATTAATTTCTTTTTATCTGAAAGAAAGCAATTCATATCTGCTCAGGTGCTTTAATCTTAGTGCTGGGGTCTAAATTTGTGCTCGTGAAAGAAAATGGAAAAACAGTTTTAAAGAGGCTTCTGAGCCCTGTTATATCACGTGAAGCTTGAGAACCCATGCCTGTGGAATGCTACTGTAGGTTTTGTTTTCCACTATAATCAAGACTTGGCTCTGAAAGTTGATCCTCTCCTGCGGTTCATGAGATATCCTTCAACTAGTGTTGCAGTTGTGCCTTTCAGATGATTTCCAAAGCATATAAAGGTCAACTTAAAATTATAAATAATTTTCAACCATATAAACCTTGCTGGTACCTCTTTTAAAAGAGTTCTGCGCTTAATTTGAGTCAGCAATTGTTCCCGGCAATAAAGACAGATTTGGGTTGAGTGGCTAAATATAGTTTTATATTTAATTTAAACTTAATTAGCAGGGCTGATCTTTTGCCAGAAGTGTGTGGATTGGTTTGCTGAATCCTGTTTGAGACATTCATGCAGTGTCTGGGAATGGACATCAGTGTTATGACATCTCTTTCCATTCCATTTTTGTTCTGAATATAAGTAATACTCTCAGCTTTAAACTCCGGGTCTGAAAATCTGGGTCCAATTTCCTTCTGTCTAGTTTGGAAGGAATATTTAGCTGTCTTTTTGAGAAATAAAACACTACTATAAAAAAAATAAACAAACCATAAAAACTTCCCATTCAGTGTAAATCCAGAGGAAAATAAGGTTTAGAGGGAGAGTTCTATGTTAACAATGATGTGACTTATTCCTTTACAGGAATGGCCCTTCTTCTGTTGCCCAGCAAGATGCCATTCTGTTCAGTCAGGATCCACTGTTTGTATGTGTTTCACAACAGCCCTATGGGACTGAAAAACAAGGCTCTTCAATACTGACCTTTATTTTAATCAGAATTTTAAAGCCAAGTTATGTTTTTGCTTTGCTGTGAACCAGAAAAAGTTGTAGATAAAAGTCAAAAGCCTTCGCTTTTCCTTACTTGAATGTGTTGACAAAAAAAGAACAATTGAATTTTTAAATTGGTATCAAGGAGGTAACTTTAACAGTGTTCAGTCTGTTGTTACCTCCTGCTCTGTAGGATAAGTGTATAATACAATCCAGGTTTCAGATAGCTTTTCTTGATGTTATTCCTGCTGCTCTTGTGGAAGCAGGGAATTTATAATGCAGGATGGCAGAAATGAAGAGGGTACCAAGATAAAGCTGTGTAAATTTATCTAATAGGAGTTGCTTTATCATTGCGGTTGGGACAGCAAACCCAAGTGCTTTAATCATTTCTCTGGCACATTGACTCCCCTTTCTCTCCCTTCACATCCTCGTAAGGCAGTTGCAACAGGGAACCAGCTCTGCACGTGGCTGCCAGCCTGGTCACTAGCACTACGGCACAGAAACGGAGGAAAACTGAGAGCAAAGGAGCCCCGCTCCAAGGAAGACCTGTACTTTACTCCATTTGCCAAATTCCTACCCTGCTGTGTCGGTCCCCTCCCCATACAGGCCACCAATCCACACCAGGCTGCGCGCGCTGATTTTTGGCAGAGTCTATGGGTTCACATTGCAGTCCCCTCTAGACCTTGGCTTTATTTATTCTTGATAAAAGCAAGGGAATTGCACACTGCCTTTACGTAAATTTTGATCAGGAGATTTGACATTATTGTCTTTCTTGCAAGGTTTTTTTCTTTTCTACGCCCACTTTCTGGCATTGCAGGTATCATCTTGTTAAATGCTTGTGCTGTCCCTGTAATCTCAGATAGTATATCCTGAGCAAAATTAACTGCACTTTCCCTTACTAAGTTTAGCCTACTGCAAGAAAAATTGTTCAGGTCTCCCTTTGTTTCAGTGAGCTCATAGATTAGTGTGGTGCTTTTAAGCTCACGCTACAGTGAAAAGGAGAAAAAAAAAGATGGAAAAAAAAAACAGAATAAAGCCGTTGTTATTCCACCCCCAACTGCTTATTTCTGTCTCCTATACCATGCTGGCACAATCGTATGTATAATCACACGTACAACTTCATGGTAAACCTGCTCAGGGAGAAGACTGCCTGCAAAATTCTGTCTTTTTTTTTTTTTTTTTTTAACTTGTGGGTTATTTTTCACTTGTATCCATTACAATCCTTATCCTAGCAAATGCAATATTCACAGAGATAGGAACAATTTATCTATGTTAGTGTAGAGGAACTCAGGCTTTTATTGTTCTCCTCTGCAAGAACAAGGTGGGTTTAAAATGCATGTCAAGCTATGGCCTTTTGGAGTTGGATTTCGGTTTGTTTTAGGGTATATTGTTTCTTTGTAAACACATACAGACCTCACATGCATATGCCTTGCCCTTCTAGCTGCATAATGACCTGTCATTCAATAATGTGAGACTTGTTAAAATGTTGCTTCAGTGTTATATGATAAATAAACTCTAAGTGACAATTATGAATTGCAGTCTCACCACCTTTATTATTATTATTATTATTATCTTTGACAGCTGTTTCAATCAGCAATCATGCTGCCCTTGCCCAGTTCTGCAAAGACCAGGAGATCAGGCTGGTCGTGGTTGGTCCAGAGGTTCCGCTTGCTGCTGGTAAGAGAAAGCAAATTACAGCCCGTGGCCCTTGCACTTTACGAAGAAAATTAAATTTTAGTCCCACTCTTCTTCCCACCGCAGTCAACAGTATCAAAGGATGTTTTTGATAGCAATGGAAGCAGATCCACTGTGGCAGTTTCTCTTGAATTTAGGGTTGTGCAGGGATGAAAATGAATTTCTGAAGTGTACTGCGCGAACGCTGTAGCAGTTACAGTATTCTCAGCTGTAGCAGTTACAGTATTCTCAACCATTTCATTTCTAAGTTCTTTGGTATAATAAAAGAGATATCACCATATTTCCGTGTTGTAAAAGAAGTATCACAGTGTTTCCTTTTATGAAACTTAACACGGGGTTTATTTTCCTATGGAGATTTCCTAAACAAAGATTTATATGTTCTTAATTTCTCTGCTTTATGTTTTTATGTGGTCAAGAATTGTTATCTCCTTTGTCTTTATGAAAAAAACTCATGTGGATTTTTTGGCTAAAAGTTACAATAAAAAAAGGGAAGACTGTCAGCTCTTACCAAATTCAACAGCCCCTTTTAGCCCCAAACATTGCGGGATTACCTGCTGCTGGTTACAGTAACAACTTCGCCATAAAGCTTTTCTGGTAAAACCCTTTCTGGAATGATGGCTTCACACTCCTGGCGTATTGTTCCTGCAAATCAATACACCCACCGATTTGACAATGCATAGTTCTTATAAATCTTCTGGTAATTTGAATATTTTTTTGTGTGTGTTGTTATTTTTAGGAATTGTTGATGACTTGACAGCAGCTGGAGTGAGATGCTTTGGTCCAACAGCAAAGGCAGCTCAGCTGGAGTCCAGTAAGAGCTTCACCAAAGCTTTTTTGGATCGTCACGGGATCCCAACTGCAAGATGGAAATCTTTTACTGATCCTAAAGCAGCATGTACCTTTATCAATAGGTAATTTATCTTTCCAACAGAAATCTTTTCATTAAAGCAATGTGTATGTACTAGGTATCCAAAACTGGCCAATGATTGCTAATGTATCAATATTTCTGTCTGTAAAACATCTGTAAAGGTTTTAAGGGACAGTCTGAAATAACAGTATCACACTTTAAAAAGTTTGATAGTTCTGTTCCATATTTTTTGGCCCTTAATGAAAATTGAACTTAGAGCTCAGTTTGGAAGGTAATACTTGAGAGATCTGGGTTTTTTTTTTTCTTTTTCTAAATTGCCTAGTATGGAACCCGGTTTGGCATGTGATAGTTATAGTGTGTTTCTGTCTGGTTCATGCCTTATCTCTAGGAATACAAATTCTGCATCTGAGACTTACTCAGCAAATGATGATCTACTTATCAGAATACAATTGTTAAAAATAAAGCAACCTTTCAGACAGTACTGAAATTTAATGGTGGGAAAGAAACACAAAGTGGATGTCCTCTACAGGCGTAGCATAACAAGAGAACCCCTGGATTTTGTGTGTGTGTTATGCAGCAATGCAAAGCTGTTGCTCTGGAAGCTGATGAGCATTTTAATCTTTCATCCATTTAACATTCAAAATTCCTACAAAATGTATTTGGAATACAGCATGTTTACTACTGAGTCGCTCTCTTCCTCTCCCACAGTGCAAACTTCCCTGCGCTGGTTGTAAAAGCTAGTGGCCTGGCAGCTGGCAAAGGAGTAATTGTGGCTTCGAACAAGGAGGAGGCCTGCAAAGCTGTTGCTGAAATCATGCAGGTGAGTAGAAATGCCATGCACTGACTGGCAGAGTTATCACACCAAATAAGTACATAACCATGACAGAGTCTCAAAGATATTCTTGTTTTATTTTTATATAATAGGGATTTAGCTATCAGAAGTGAAATCCTTTACCCAGTATTTGGACAGCTATAAAGCTGTATCGTATTTCTTACTTGAGACAGAGTACTCTTTCTAGGCAACATTCCTGTAGGGTCAAGTAAAATATTTCTTAAATAAGACCTGTGCTTATATCCATCTGGATTTTCTTTTTTTTTTTTTTTTCCCATCCTTTTGTGACTTTCGTATTGTAAAATAATAGTAACACTGGGATTAAGTTGGATCTTGAGAAGCAACTTAAGCTTTAGGCCTTGAGTCACACAGCACTTAAATGTGTAGTTAAATTTCAGTGGATTTAGTCTAACTTAAATATATATTTAAATAGCATAATGAACAAATACATCAGGACCATCAAAATCTGTTTTTTTCTTACCTTAAAGAGAAGCAAAATGAAATAATTCTCTCTGAATGTTTGGAAACATAGAGCTGGAAAAAAGACATACACAGGTCAAATCCTCAGCTGGTGTCAGCAGCACAGCATCTTACAATTCAGTGGAGCTGGAGCTATGCTGATTTATAGGAGATGATTATCTGACACACTTGTTACAATTCAAGGGTCAGGATATAGGGTAAGCACTCATTTCATGTGTGTGTTTGTGTGGTTATTGGACAAAGTTATAACTTAATGTGTAGCTAGCTTGTTCTGCCTTGAACAAAACACATTCCTTAATCATAAGACTGTTTAACAGAACACAGAATTATTTGGCAGTGTGCTGTGGTGGTTTTGTAACGCATAAACATATAGTCAGTGTTCAAACGTTGCACTGAAATGTGAGACTATTGCTCCCCTCCAGCTTAGTCTACATAATTGCACTTTCAGATAAAGCTAAAGTTCAGATTATGGACTTGACAGTAATTGCTCTAATCTCCAGTATGATGAGTACAAACTTCAGAAAGTAAAGCATGAGGAATTGCTTGACAAGTCACAAGTATCACCTGCAATTTTAAAATATTTGAGCTAAAATCTGTATTTATTAAAGAAAAAGCAAAAATGATGAGCAAAGATTTTACCTTTGCTGATGTTTCCACAATGGAGAATGGATCCATAGTCTCAAAACTGTGCTGTGTTTTTTTTCTTGCTTTATCAAAAATATATTTTCTTCTTGTACTTTGAATATTTAAAAAAAAAGGTTGAAACACAGAATTAAAGAGATTTTCTTTTTAATGTAGGATAAGACTTTTGGTATGGCTGGGGAAACTGTTGTTGTTGAAGAACTTCTTGAAGGAGAAGAAGTTTCTGTAAGTGTGCATCTCTCATTGTAAGACTTTGATTATATCCGTTGTTCCAAATGGTTTAGGAAATACCATCTAAGTGCCAACAGCAGGCATATGTAAGATTTTATTATTTAATTTAAAAACAGTTACCTGTATTAATTAAAACTGCAAATAAAGCAGCTGTGATAAGGACAAAACTTCCCACCATCTCTTAAAAGTAATTCACAGTATAAATGAAAATAACTCAAGCAGTAATCACTTGCTAACATGCAAAAAAAATCAAATTATTTAATCTTTTAGTGTCATTAAGGGCGCTGTTCTGTGTTATGGTTTCTCTGGCAAAGACAGTATAGGATGTTCCTTCCCTTCCTTGTTCCTGCTTCTCTGCTGCTGTTTGCTACTGACTTAGCTATACTACCTGAACTTTCATGGGATTGCAACTTAAAAAAATTGAAAAATAGCAGTTTACATTCTGCTAGTGATTGGCAGAATGTAAAAGAGAAAGAGGGAACGAGAGCCTAGGTTTTGAGAAGGTGGCAAGGGAACTTGACCCTGGCATCACACAAACTAGAACAGCCACGCACCCTCTCAGGTTTCTCAGTGCCCGAGCTGGAATTGGCCTGTGCTAAATTCTGCGAACGTTCATCTTCGAGGGGGTTGTATTTATAAAGCAGGCAGCCATCTCCGACTCCTGCCAACCTTTGCATGGCCAGTATATATAAAAAAATTATAACTGCTGATATTGGTCATCCTTATTTCTTCTTGGTTAGCTTAACATTGTAAGAAACTAAGGGAATAGCCAGATCTTCATTCTCTGGTGAAGACAGTGTAATTCTCTTAATTAGCCCTTAGAATATGGGCTGAATTCCTGTGATGCAACACAAGAACATAAACATGCAGTTTAAATATTTTTTCCTAAAGTGACTGATAACAGTGAATTTAAAATAATGCTCATCTTGCCCGTCAAAATAATTCACCTGCCACAATTAGCTATTGTTTTTCATATATTAATATTTTGGCATTTTGTGGCTGGGTAGGGAATCCTTGCTTGCATTATGAAATATTAAATGTTTCTATGAGTACTCTTAGCAGTACTCATCATCATCTAGTTTGCCAGAGATGCTGGCAAAGGTGTATCAGAAAATACTAGTCATAAAAGCATCTATTAGATAAAATATTTAGATAAATATTTAAAGAAATATTTAGATAAATAGGTAAATATTTTGGAAGTTAAGGAGGTTTTATGGACAAGGAGAAGGAAAATTTGAAAGGAATATAATGATTCCCTCTGACAGAGGGGAAAAGAGAGGAAGGAATGCTTCTACCTTAGGGTAACCCAAAGATTTTAGAAGTTTTTGAGTAGTCTTTTTCAACACAACTCTTGGTCTTATTTTGTGATTTTCATATGTTACATAACAGGTGATTTCTGCAGAAAGGTCTTATAAACTGAGGCAGTGTTCCTGAGGGAGAAAAGAATGTGTTTAGAATACCATAGTTTGTATTATTAGGGAAACAGAATTTCTACTCTTAATGTCCATTCTGCAACACTGAAAAACAAATGCGTTTGTTCTGTAGGCAACTTCTGTCATAAACTTGGCTTTTAATTATTTTCCCTGTTTTCCAGTGCTTATGTTTCACTGATGGCATCACGGTTGCTCCCATGCCCCCGGCCCAGGACCACAAGCGACTAATGGATGGGGACGAAGGCCCCAACACTGGAGGAATGGGAGCCTATTCCCCAGCACCTCAGGTAAAAATGTGAGGACAAGGAGGTGTTTCACTAGGGCTGTAGTGTCTAAAGCATGGATGGATTTTCAGTTTCATGGTGATGAAGGGGAGAATAGAAAGAATGGGCTCTCATGGGTGAGAAGGATTGGGCCAACAAACCTAATCCAGTAAAGCTCATAACTAAAGGAAGATATTTCTGCTGAGTTACTTTTAATTATACAGGTGGAAATGTTTTTTTTTTTCTTGCAAGGTTTTTTTTTTTAAGTATTATGAAATACTGATCATTAGAACTAAGTATTTAAAACCCATATTAATCTTGTGCCAAGCTAAGCAAAGATAAACCTTTTCTGTGGCTCAATGCAGTTGGGTGTCTGCCTGTTAAGGAACATTTGTTTACAAAAGGATTTACTTTGCTCTCTGTTAACCTGTGTCATGACTAGTGTGTTTTTGCTTTTGTTTTCTTTTTTTGAGTAATATATTTTTTAATCCTCTATGAAACTATTGATTTTGTGTATTGAATAAAATGTGGTCACTGACCACTATACTTTGTAACTGTGATTTGTCTTTAAGGGGCACTATTTAAATGGACATACTAGCATATGTTTATACAAATGGTTTGTTCCAGTAAAATTAGTGGGATAACTTGCACATGTAGGTCATCAAGTATATAAAAGTTTTT